AGTAGTGAAATTGATGTTATTTGATTCTGTTTGCAGGCCACAGAAATCCACTCAAATTCTCACGGATGACCATCGCTGTAAACGTGTTGCTTTTGTGGCATGCCTTAAAGTACCATGATTCATAACATTTGTTTTTATCCTTTGCTTCCTGTATAGGAATTAGAGAATTTAAAGCGTGTACAAAAACAAGCTGCAAGCAGACAGAGCGCAACAGAGGTTCGCTTAAATAGGGCCCTGGAAGAAGCAGAAAAGTATAAAGCAGAGCTGAATAAACTGAAGCAAAGTAACAAGGTACAGTGGCTTAGAAAAACAAAGTCTGTGATTATTCAGTAATGCTAGAAGGAGCCCAGAGGCTTGATCAGCTTTGGAAGTATGCCATCGTTTACAGGCTACCCCAGAAGTAACTTACAACGGATCAGCAAGGGGCCTGGTAACTTATTTCTACTGATAATACTGCAGGAAAAGATGCATAGAATAAAATCAGAGCCTGTCTGCCCCTCTTTTTTTGAAATAAGATGTGCCTGCAGAGAGAGAGAGAGAGAGAGAGAGACACTTAAACACCTAATAAGTACACAGGCAAACTACAATATTGATCTACTTGTTAGAAGCCAGTAAATGCCCTCTTTTGAGTTTTTATTAAGTTTTGGTGAGGGAATATTTTAAGGCATCCAGCTTATTTCCCGATGTGTCATGTGGCTAACATCTGCCATTTATAATGTTACGCCAAGTTTCTCCAGTTAAAGCTTTACTTAAATGAATAATACATTTCTCACCTTCCCATGGCAGGATGTAGCTAGCCGAGAACTCAAAACAATTGAAGAATTAAAGGCAGAAAACAAGAAACTGCAGAAACAAAAAGGAGAACTAATAACAGGTTTCAAAAAACAGCTGAAGTTAATTGATATTTTAAAGAGACAAAAGGTAAGAACCTAAATATTGTTGTCTTTCAAATAACTTGGCTAAACTTGCCTGTTTTCAAGTGATGCACTCACATAAATCACAGCCCCAAGAACAGAAATTTTCAGTGCAGTGGAACAGCTGCTTCACTTTCATTAGTACACATCACTAATGTCCTCTTTGGAATTGGCTCAATTCCTAACTTGGAACATAACCTGTCATGGTGAAAGATTACCATCAACAAGCTTTGAGACCACGAGTACCTGTTTGTTTAAGAAAAGAAATACTGCTCAGGTAGTACCTGCAAGCAGCTCCCTGTGGTGCTGCATCAGTACAATTCATTTTAGCATTGAGTTTTGTTGTCTCTTTCTCCAGCATGTTTCTTACTCTATCAACAGCTGTACCTCTAGCGCCCTCTCACGATTAAGCCGTTACATTTCAGCCCCACATTTTTCCTAGATTCTCAAAGTATGCCCTTATCTATTAATATAGCCTCTTGGTGCTTGTATTCTGAGGTGTTCTGTACATGTACAGATCTGGAACAAAGTGGAAGACCCTGCAGGTTTTGATGAAAGCAAATTGAAGTGAAAAGAGTATGTTCTAAAAGATGTTGCCCAAACAAAAAAAAAATTTCCATTTATTGATGCATTTAGGTCTTACACTCCCAACACAGCTTTTGCTTAAAAGAGTGATTGCATCCAATCCTAACTCAGTTTTCTTTCTGAGGCTGCACAGGAGACTTGCAGGGCTAAATGCCTCAGAATAGTGTAAATATGATCTTAATTTCACAGTGGTTCACATTTGCTTAGTGCTGAACCTTTATTGAGGCAAAGCATTGAACAGCATAGAATGAGAAGTATCAGTGGTAGAGTTAAGGCTCTTCTTTTTGCACTCACAAACCAAGGCTATCAGATAAAGAAAGCAAGGAATGGTGACTTGAGCAGAAGCACCTTAGAAAAAGTAGCCTTGACAGTAAGAAAATAGAACATTCACCCTTTACTGCAGTGAGAACCTGACACTTAGTAAACACTTGAACTTGCTGAGCCTCCACAGAGAAAGAACAGTTCTGTATGAAGTGGCAACTTCATAACACAGACTGCACGTACTTAAGAACAGAGAACCACACCATGAAAACACACCCTGGGATTTTGAATACATCTCCTACACGTAACAGAGGAGACCAGTAATAGGAATAAGAACAACTGGGGCTGCTCACACGCTTCCAGTGCATGAATTTTTCTGACCACACCAGAACCAAAAGAAACATTGGAAATAGTGTTAACTTAGCCATGTCTTGCTCTCTTAACTCTTCAAAGTTATTTTGAGAATGGAAAAACCACAGCATTCACTCAACAGATACTCCATACATGAGCTAACTCATTCTCTAGAACACCAACTCACTGAAATGAGCACCAAGGAACAGCATTTGACTGAACCAAAATCAGCATCAGATAAACTTCTCAAAACTTACACAAAAAATTATTAATACCACATCAAAACTGCAGATAATAGAAGAAACCATTTCCCTTCTGTTAATAAAAACATATACTCACAGAAAAAATTGCTGTTAGTCCTTTCAGAACAGGCAGAGGGTCGAAGAACCTGAGAACAATACCAAATGCTGCCTTTATTCCTCCCAGCAGAAGGAACTGGGAAAGGCAGCTAAGCTCACATGACACCAATATACGTAATCACCAGAAGAACTTAATTTCATTTCACAGCAGCCTTTTGTTGAATTAAGGAAACCTTAGCCTGGCTGACTTGTGTAGTATATTTGTGGATTCAGATGCACCTCACGTGAAGGTGAGGATATATTACTGCATGAAGAATAGTAGAAGAAAAAAAAACACCCAAAAAGTATTAAATATCCATTAGCAGGACAAGTTGCAGCTGTCAGCAAGTAGCTGTTGGTATTCAAACTGGTCTTTAGACCATCCTCTGCTTGCCTCAAGATCATAGAAAATCTTAGTTTTAAAAGGAATCTAGTGGAACCAAACCTGAGTTTTAGGCTATCTATCTGTGGGAATTACACATGCTGACTAGGCATTGTTTGGAACCAACAAGATGTCTGTACATATATAGGGAAAAATCAGACACCTTGTAGATGTGAACTGTGCCTGTTTCCTTCAGAACAATCCTCGTGTTTAAAAAACTGTTCAGCCCGGACACTTTCCTTGCTACTTGAAATGTTGATAAGAGATGAGGGGGATGTGGCATATTTGGGATGTTTACCGTGACAGCAGCTGCAAAGCAGTGAGCTTCCAGAGCTTTCTGGCTGCTGCTTGCTTTTGAGTGATAGCTCTGTGCAAATACATTGGCCTGAAAGTCATCTTGATGACATTCTTGACAATTACAATTTTTAATCAAAAAGCTGCCCTGTATTAAGCTTAAAATTCTGTTTGTTCCACTCAAAGCAAATTTCTGTTTCCTACACATATGTGCCATAATGGACCACCTCTGTACAGCAAGACTTACAGCAACACAGCAAAGGGTGGTCAGCTCCAGCCACCTCTCAGCAAGGTGTATTAATTTAATGCTTTGCTTTATGCTGATTATACTATTTAGGAATCTTTTTGCTAAAATACTAATTTAACATTGAATCATACATTTAGCAGCACTACTACTCTGACTGAATCCTAGTGACACATTGGATTTGTATAGCTTAAAATTTAGCTGAATATTGATCAGCTTGAACGCATACAGTATTTCTTATGTGTTCTTTAAGAGGACACAGGAATGGTCTGTTTTCCAGTAATTTCTATGCTCCATTAAAAAAATACATATTTAAAGCTATACAAAGAATTAAGAGAAGCCACTGATCCTTTCACTAGAGCTGAAGTTGCAATATTAACCATAAAATTTATCACAATCCTCACATTATAAAATCAAACTGTTGCAAAAAATATGAATAGCAACCTCATCTTAAACAGGTGAGCCTCCATCAGAACCACAGCAGGAAACCACAGAGCAATCGATTTGAAGCCCCTTTCAGTCATGCAGGTCTTTGTCATTCATGCTGCTTTATCTTCTGCTCCTGATTTATGTTTTATTTCTTTTGAGATGCACATTGAAGCTGCTAGGATGCTTTCTTTTACTGAAGAGGAATTCATGAAAGCTCTTGAGTGGGGAAATGATTGATTCAAACTTGTTTGAAATACAAAACAGACGGTAGGTTGTTTTGGCACTGTAGTGTATGTTGATAGTTAACAAGTATATCTCAGAGAATGGATTATGGTGGTTTTGCTAACACTGAAATTATTTCACTTTCAAAAGCCTGACAGGCTGCTTTGGAATGTCACATGCAATACAGATTTCCTGTGAAGTTCCAAGCCCAGCTGTCTGTTCTGTAAGGAGCCAGGAGGCACAGAGAGCAGGTGAACTTTGTTATCTGTTCTTCTGTTTTAGCATTCAAAACTGTTAATAAGGTAACATTCCGTCTAAAGAGAAGCCAGAGTGACTACAATCTGATACAGCTTATTGTTTGAAAGTTCCTATTTTATTTAGTCAAGGTAAAAAAAATAAATATAAATATTTATATATTTCTGTGGTCATTAGATACTGGTAATGGATACAGTCAGCAGCAATGGCTCCATATCACAGGTGCTCTACATGCATTATCTCCTGAAAAAGTTTATCATCTCATCATTATAGCTGAGTATTAAATAAAAATGTGGGTGTAGATGAGCCATGCGTATGATGTACACTAATGAACAAGAGTAATAAAAGCCCGTGCTGGTTAATGAAGCTTTGTTAAACCTCAGCTATTTCAGTGGATTCCTGAGAGTGATTTAGTAGAACAGTGACACACAAAGTTTGTTTGCAGTGAGGCTATTAGCAATGACTCTGCAAGGTGCTTATAATGAGAGCGGGGCTGGTCTCTTCTCACTGGTGACAGGATGATGGGAAATGGCCTCCAGTTGCACCAGGGTTAAGTTTAGGTTGGATATCAAGGAAAACTTCTATACAGATAGGGTTGTGAAGCACTGGAATAGGCTCCCCAGGGAGGTGATTGAGTCACCATCCCTGGATGTGCTTAAAAACCATTTGGATGTGGTGCTCAGGGACGTGATTTAGCAGAGGGTTGTTAGAGATAGGGTAGTATGGTTAGGTTATGGCTGGACTTGATGATCTTTAAGGTCTTTTCCAACTTGAGCAATTCTATGATTCTATGACTCTGATCTCAAAATGAGAATTACATCTCAGATTTTACTAGCACAATCACGTGAGCTAGCAGTGGAAAAAGTAATTGTGATCTACCATTAGTGATTTGTATTACCTACCTTTAGATTAGTTATTTAACAGTACAATGCAAATGTAGATATTTTGTTAACTTACAAACAGAAACAGTGCATTAAGATAATCGTATTGTCTGTTATGTGACACCCATCTGAACTTGCACTACTTCAGGTTTCTGCAGTGGGCTGAAGAAAACATTTTCAAACAGTGCTTCATCACTAACTCAGTTGTATTTAGCTGATAGATTATTGAGAAATCTGTAGCAGTTTATTCCTGAAAAATTTAAGTGCATTTAAATAAGATGAGCCGTTCTTCAGTTCAGAGCTCCAGTCTTAAAATGGAGATTTTTATGAGAATAAAAACGAGTTCCTTGCTGTTAACAGCAGGTAGACATTTTCATTAGCAATCAGATGACACCTAGTGGCAAAGCAGGAGGGCAGGCAGTGGAAATTTCAGCTCTCTTCAGAAGATGGATTATCTCTTCTCTTCTGATAAGCCAACCTAAACTCCTCACCAAGCATGTTAATATCATCTTCGCCTTTGAGTATTCCCTGGAGAAAGAAGCACCACAGAAGATAAAAAGAAATTAAACAGATAATTATGGATCTCTGAATTTTTTTAATGGAAACGATTGTATAGCTAATACCTTGGAACCTGTGTTACCTCAAAAACAAAAACAAAAACAACAAATAGCTCTGAAGAGCATCACCAAGACTCAGTGGATGAATTTCTAACTGCTGCACTTGGTGCTAACCTAGAACTGTGTTTTTTGTTCAGGCACATTGGGGTGAGAATCAGTAACGACTGTCACATAAGCAGTATACAAAAGACAGTGTTTATCTGCATTCTGTTTCTAATTAAAAGTGACTAGAGGCAGCAGAGCACATTTATAGGTTTAGCAAAAAATCAAGAAACTACACTGAAAAGAGGCACTGGCTTGGCTGGGGCTTCATGTCCACATTCAGGTGTGCTGAAGTAGTATTGGAGACTTCAGAGCTAGGAAGAACTTTGCCATCAATCCATTCTGAGTGAAGTCCCATGCAATGTGACACCCTATTCAGGTCTCATTAAAGCAGAGAAAGAACAGTAGGGCATCAGTACCATGGGGCAGATATGAGCCATGGACGCTGCAACAGCCAAAGCTGTTCAACAACAGTCAATTGAAAGCAGGAAATTACATCAGAAGTAGTGCCCTTTTGTGTTGCACTTCCATTGCATCCTCACTGGAAATTAACTCTCTGAATCTCTACTTCCAAGTCTTACCAATTCATGTACAAAGTGAGTTATAGTAATTATTTGATTAAAAATAAAATTTGCTATGTTTACAATGTGTTTCAGTACTGCAGGAAACAATTTCTTTAGACATCTGAGTAACTCCCTCCCTCCTCTAATTGCATCTTTATATCCTAAAAGCAGCTCTCTGTTCATTTGTGTACCATCAGGTGATCTTCATGATGATGAAATGTACTATAAACTGTACTTTATTCATGTAACGAGAGTTGCTTCCATCTCTATAACCTTTAAAAAGACAAGGATGAACAGAATGAGCATTGACATTCTTGTGAGTTTGTTGCACTGTAACAGGGAAGAGGCCTTGTTTCCATGCCAACAGAAGACAAACAAGGCAGCCAACAACACAGATAACTGCTCCGAAAACCCAAATGGAAGAAGTTGGTCAAAACTGTCTTACAGTAGAGCCCTTTCTAGCTGGAAAAGCCCTGCTTTAAAAATTACATTCCATATCCCAAAAGCTTTGGATCTGCAAAGAGCTGTGGAAGCAATCAGCAAGCTCTGCACATGGCCTCAATAGGGCCACAGTGCAGCCCAAGGCTTCTCAGTGTTCTTTCATCTGCTTTCCAATCCAAGGTGAGCAGACAAGAGCTGATGCAGTAAAGATACTCACTCCATGTAATTCATATGGCTAACAACTTTACCTTATACTAGCCAAGAAAAAAAAACATTTATAGAATAAACATGTAAAGCATTTAACAGACAATCACTTACTCTAGGAAGATAACCCAGTAATTTAGATGCATGTTCTTTCAGGAGTTTCTGTCTCTCTTCTTCAACAACTGCACGAATGTTTGCTTGTCTTTTCTCCTCTAACTGCCATTCTTCAAGTTCACGCTCCTACAATAAACAAGTTTTGTTGAGTTTCAGCTCCATGAACATTTATTTCCACCAACAGAAACTAAGGATTAAAGAGGTGCATTTTTTTTTTTTTTTGTGGAGTAAATTTTGAACTTTCATTTAATTTTGACTCCTGGTCACAAGAAAATAGATATGAAAAGGATGAAAAACTTGTATCAAAGAACCAAAGTACATGTTAAGTAGAAGTATCTCTGACGAAAGAGAAGACGAATAGCAAGACATGGGGCTGTAGTTACGCTATTTAAAAGCCCTTTTTATAAGACTGGTAAGCAAAGCTTGGGTTCCTTGCCAGCCCCTAGACAACACAGTCTGTTCCTGCTTCACTGCTCTGCTCCAGGAAAAGGAAAAACAGACACGTGTTCTTGTGCCGATGAGCAGAGCAGGAACTACAGCTCACGTTATACGTGTACAGACTGAAAACTACAGAGTAGATGTTTTTAGTTCATGTAAAGGTTTTTCTTCCTCAGATGCTAAAAGGGGACACAGTCTGAAACCGGGGCTGGGTTCCCCCTTTTTATGCATCCTCAGTTGTGCTGGCTGATCAGGGAGGCTGAGCTGGACAACATTTGTGTCGCTGATCTCACGGCTCTTGAAGAGCTATTTGCAGAGCATGTCGGGTATACAATGATCTGCAGGCTCTAACCTTTTAAGCTCTAAGAATTTAGCTCTAGAAAGATGTCTTTCTTCCAGCACAACAAGGGTGTGCTTCCCACCCCTTCCCCCCAGCCATTTCTCTGCAGTTCTCCTGTCCTTTCCCTACAGCCTTGATATAGGATAGAGTTTTCTCATGTTAAAATGGTTTGGTTCAGACCAAGGGTGAAACTGAAAACTCTTACTTTATCTGCAATGAATTGTTTGTGACGGTCTTCAATAAGTTTTTCCACAGCCTTTCTGTGTTCAAGCTGTTTCATTCTTCGTTTCTGAGCATTCATCTGTTCAATACGATCATCCTCTGCAAACTTGGCCTGCATCTGCTGTCTGAAGGCTTCTTCCTCCTCTTGCACGGCTCGCTGCGCTACCTTCTTCAAAGCTAACTGCTCTTCGTACATTTGCCTTAAATCCAGGCGCTGCCTTATTCTCGTCTCAATTTCTGCCTATGAAGAAAATTCAGTCAGATGCCGTATACTGAAAATTGTTTGAAAAAATTCATCTTCAGCCAATCTGATTTCTCAGAGAAGAAAATGACAGTGGCTGTCACTGTCTACGTAATAAAAAACCTGGTACCGACAAGTGCCAAAATACCCATATTCATGTCTGCAGGAGTCCACGGAAAGTGAGCTCCCCCACAGCCAGCACAGGTACTGCTTCAGCTGCCTCCCAGCACTCACCATCTCCTTCTTTCTATCAGTCTCAAGTTGTTCTTCCAGATACAGCTCCTGGCGTATTCGTTCCACTTCGTCACGCTTCTGTTGCTCTCTTTCTAGATTCTGGGCAATCTATTACAAGAAGGAAGGATTTCTAAGTAAAAGAGAAAAATACACAATATGTTTTTCTACAACTTTAATTTTTAATACCATGGCCTGAAGTTGTTGTTTTTTCTCCTCCATGTCTCTAACTTTGGCCGTCCAATCTTCTTCTCTTTGCCGCTGACTGTTGGCAAACTCCACAATTTTCCTGTTTTCTTCTTCCATCTCTTCCCGTTTCCTCTGCTTCCACACAGCCTGTTCTTTTTTAAATGCTTCAATATATGTCTGAGTTGCTCTCATCTTCTCTAACTTAAGTTGTTTTTCCCTGTGTAAAGTAAAAACAAGAGAGTATTGTTATTTACCACACTGGGGTGTGACGCTGAGCAGACCACATGCTCACCATTAATAATATATTCTGGACTAAGATTTAAACGACCGTCCTTACCCATTCAGCTGGAAACTTGATGCCTAAATTGCAAATACTTATTAATGAACTACCTCTGAAAAGGAATCTTGTGCCTGATGCCTTTACTCGGGAGGACAGGCTGTACACACTGGTATTCACTGCTGCTGTTTTATACACGCTCCATTCAAACAGAACACAGAGAAGGAAGCCCAGCAGCCCAAGTGCCTCACAAGCTCTGAACCTGTTCTAAATTCAGAAACCTCCTTCCCTATGTGTGTCCATAGGACCAGCACACAACATGTACCATGGGGAAGCAGGGATGGGAGGCGAGGTGGAAATCTGTGACGGGCAGTCATTTGTGGTGCAGTGAGAGCACCTTGAACATAAGCTGATTTCCTGTCTGGGTACAAGGACACAAGACAGACTGAAATAAGTGGAATATTCTGGCTCATAAAACAGCAAAATCCATGCAAGTCAACTTCATTTTTCTAAAACTGGACAATAAATACTTATTCAATAGGAATGATATGCTGAAATGGCCCTTAGCCAAGGAAATAAAGCCTATAATCCTATAAGGAACTATATGCAAATTAAAAAATAATAGAAATTCAAGTTTACAAACTTTTGATCTTCCTCATAGATCTTCCTTATGATTTCATCAATCATGAGTTTCTCTTTCAGAAACTCGTCATAAACTCCCTGCTTCTTCCGCTCCTGTTCCTCAAGCTGCTTCTCCAGCTCTTGCTGATAAGTTATTTTCTCCTCATTTCGCCTCAGTTCTGCCAAACTTTCTTCTTTTGCTGCCCTTTCATACTCTTCCTTCATCTTTTGGGCTATTTCAGCCTCACGTTTCTACAGGAGAAAATAAAAGAAAAAGCTATAAAAGATTCCTTTTTACTCCCATTATTACTTCCACTTAAAAAATTAACACAGCACAGGGAAGGAACACTGCACGATGAAACCAGACTCTCTCCCCTCTCCACACGCTCACTGCCTCACCATGTAGAATGCCTCAGCTCAGGAGGAAGAACCTTGGAGAGAATCCCCGTTATATAAGCAACTTGAAGGCAGCTGTAAGTACTGCTAGGACCAAGCAGAGCATTCAGCAGGAGTGAAATGAGCTCATGTTGGTGAGAAAACTAGAACGTAGCAGGACTTTGCAGAACATCCTCAGCAGAAGAGATGTCTTTACAGCAATTTGCTTAAGGTGTATTTTGTGCCAAACTTCAATGCACTCAGAATCTTCTGCCCGATCACTGACATCACACGCACACAGAAGCCCACAGGTCTTTATAGAGTTACTCAGACGTGTTTAACAGCAGTGACATTTCCAACCGCTGTCCCCGAAGATTTGCTGCAATGACTGCTTACTGTACAACACAGCGCCTCCATTTAACCTCCACCAACATTAAGGAGCAGTGAAATCACCGCCGTGTCCCATCACACAGCTTTGCACACGGCTGCCTTCACCACAACGCCAGGTGAGCCTTGTGCCACAGCACGCCGCTGGCTGCTGCACACAGAGGATTTGGAAGCAGCGCAGGCAGGACGCGTGGGATTACCATTTTCTCAAACTCTATGGCTTCTTTCTCAGCGATCTGCGCCGCTCGCTCTTTGTTCAGATATGCAGATTTTAGTTTCTTCTCGAGTTCTCGAAGTTCAAGACTGAGAAAGGGGAAAAAAAAAGATAAAGCGTATCACATTGTAAGCAGCCCGGTGCCTAAAGGCAAACGGCATTCGCAGGGCGGGAAGCAGCAGCAGGCAGCGGGCGGCTCTACCTGTTCTCCCGCACTTGCTGCCTCATCTTCTCATCGCTCAGCTTCTCGTGCTTCAGCCGCGCCAGCTCCGCCGCCAGCCGCTCCTCCTGCAGCCGCCGCCGCTCCCTCTGCCGCCTCCGCTCCTCTCCCTGCGCGGAACGAGGACGGCCGCCCCGGTTCGCCCCACGGCTCCGCACGGCCCCGCACGGCCCCGCCCGCGGTTCTCACCGTTCGCACGGCCTCCTCCAGCCGCCGCTCCCGCTCCACCGCCGCCCGCAGCCTGGCGGCCCTCAGCAGCCCGCCCCGCTCCTCCGCCGCCGGCGGCAGCCCCGCGCCATGCCACGCGGACGCCTGCGGGAGACAAGAGAGCGGCGGTGCGCCGGGCCGTCCCGCCGGGCCCCGACTCCGCCATCCCGCCCGCTCACCATGCCTCCTGCAGAGCGCGCGCCGCGTCGCCACGGCGACGGCGGAATGCGGCGGCGGAAGCGAGCGGCGACTTCCGGTCAGCGAGGGCGACGGCGCCCTGTGAGCGCGGTGCGGGGCCGCCTGACGGCAGTTGTGCTGCGGGCCGGGCCGCGCGAAGCTTTGCCACGCGTTTGAGGCGTGCCGCGAAGCGCTTCTAGCGCATAGCGGAAATACGGGCAGAGACAGTTCTGGTACCCGCGCACCTCGGGACGGTTCGTGACTCTCCGTGCTCCCCCGCAGGCCGCAGACACGTGGCGCGCGCAGATGGCAAACAAAGGAGCGACCTGCTGGCCTTGCAGCCACCGCGTGCTGGGGAGGAGAAGCGCTGCAGAAACCCCACGGAAACCACCGTGTGCCCCTGGCCCCACTCCTACCCTTCAACAAAGTAATGGAACCGCTGTTCTCATCTCGTCCTCGAGCGCCTCCCCCAGGCCCTAATGCTCCCGCCGTCATTTTGCCCTGTATCTCCCAGACCTGTCTATGGCCCCCGGATCGGTGTCCCGCTGTGCCCCCAGCAGTTCAGCCCCCAGGGCACAGCGCCCTCCTGCTCGCTAACTCACACTCCCCTGGGCCATCCGCACACCTGCTGGCAGCGCAGGCGCCCGGTGTCACTGGTGCGTCCCTTGTCCCCTCCAAGGTCACCTCTGTGGATGAGCCGCCCCCACTCACAGAAGCCACCTGCTTTGCTCTCCTAGCAGGGCCTTCCCACAAAGCGATCTGGCACTGTGTGCGAAGCAGGCCTACTTTTCCCTGTCCTGATGGCACTGACATGTTTCTTGCTTAAAGATGCACAGATTTAAGCTGTAGAACAGAGCAGTCCTGGGACAGAGCTGCTCAACACATCTGAAAGAACAGAGTAAGAACCGACTTGTTTTGCAACCAGCTACACTAGGCCCTTTACAGCCAAACTTGTTCTAATGATAACAGACACAGACGTGTCTGCTTTGCTGCAGTTTGGAAAGCAAAAAGTCCCAGCTGCGTAACTACCATAAACTGCTGTTCCATACAGCACCTCTCCTTGCAGCAGTCTGGCTACATACCTTCCCTCTTACAGCATCAAACACCCCCAGGGCCTGGAAGGCTTTGTGCAGCCAGGAGCATGCACAGTCCTTCCTCAGGATAACACAGCATTAACAAATGCTGCAGTTTTCAGTCCCAGTAGCACCACCAGTGATCAGCTCATCACTGCTGAAATCTACACTGCTGAGGAATGAGAATTTGGCCAATGACAAACATGATCAAATAGAGCGTTACAGGGATAGAGGTGGTTCCCTTTGCTTCAGCTGCTTAAATTGAAGGTGATGCAGGAGCTCCCAGCAGGTAAGGTCACTGAATGAGAAAGTCGATGCCACTTCGCAGGTTTACTTTTCCAGAGCATTTTAGCAGATCCTGCCATGTGACAGTGAAAAATGCATTCCAGCTGAGAAAAGATATGTGGGTCGTGCTGACTTTGCAACAGTACATCCACTGTGGGGGATAACAGTGTCACTGTGAGGTAATTTACCTCCTTCAGATGAAAAGATAAATGTGAATTAACAGGAAAGGGTCTGAAACATCTGAGCAGTGGTATTGATCTGCTAAAGACCCAGGTAAGTCACAGAGAAGTGCTTGCCTGCTTTCCCTGATGCGGGTGATGGATGGAACAGCAGATTTAGCAGCCAATGGGCTGTCACTGTCAAGAAAATCTGAGCACTAAAAATAATAATGATTTTTTTTTTTTTCAATTATTCTGCAAGAGAGGGGAAAACCTGTGCCAGCGCAGCAGCAGGCAGAAGTTACCTTTTACTTATGAGATTATGGACTGTAAACAAAAGTACTACAAGGAACGAAGACAGTCAGTGCTTTAGATGCGCTCAGCAAAAGTACAGCTGTTCCTGATGATGCTTTAATATTTAGTTACAGCATTGAGTTTGCAAAGCACAAAGAGAATAAATGGAGCATCTCAGGCCAGAAAGGATCGTCTTAGGAAAACATGACAGAAACTCATCTTCAGGGGCAGCATTTCTCTGGCTCATCTGTAGGTTTCCATCTCTGTTCAGCTGTTCTGATAGAGTTAAAGCTGTCAGCATCCAAAGACCAACATAGAATCATAGAATGGCCTGGGTTGAGAAGGACCACAGTGGCCATCCAGTTTCAATCCCCTGTTATGTGCAGCCCAGGCTGCCCAGAGCCACATCCAGCCTGGCCTTGAATGCCTGCAGGGATGGGGCATCCACAGCCTCCTTGGGCAACCTGTTCCTGTGCCTCACCACCCTCTGGGTGAAAAACTTCCTCCTAATATCCAACCTAAAGCTCCCATGTCTCACTTTAAAACCATTCCCCCTTGTCCTATCACTATCCACCCTCGTTAGCAGATGTACCCCCTCCTGTTTATACTCTCCTTTTAAATATTGGAAGGCCACAATGAGGTTCTCACCTCCACACCTATTTTCCTATCAGTAATGGACCATAATGGAACAAATCAGAATTTTTATCTATAGTAACCTGTATCTACATGTAACATGTATTTCTAGGTAAACTCAGAGTTCTTTATTTCTTATTAACATCAATTCTTGACTTATAAAGCTCTCAAAGCACCTAAGGTGTATGCTGATTCCGCCAAGGAAACAGTTTTTAAAATAACAGGGTTACATACATTCCAAAGACCACAACGGGTGAATTCTGCTCCACACTGACACTACACTCTGACATTTCTTATACAGAGGATCTCACTGGCTGTATGCACAATGATTATTGTTACAAGAGCAGGATAACACCAACACAACTCCTCAGCTATTCTGCTGGGAGTGTATTTAGGAACTGTAGAGTAGCACAACTTCATTTGATTCTGTTCTGTGCATGCAGATGGGTGAGACAATCCCTTCTAGCTTATGTATTGACAAAATCATGTTTTCACCCCACAGTCTTACCTCTATACAATACTTGCAATTCTTCATTTCCATATTGGCATTAAATGTAGGTACTTCTTGAACCTTGCAGACCAAACCCTTTTGGACACTGAAACAAAAGCAGAAAATCAGGACATTTTTCTTCACTCGGTTTCAGGTCTTTGATACAGCACTCAGGATTTGTTCAGGCTCAATGTGGGCACTCCCTTGGGCTCACTGCCCATTTCTTTCATGTCTTCCCTGTGTGTTTCTGTCCTGTTATTACTACTCCAACCAATACCAAGTTTGTGGCTTTCTGCATCTCTTATCCTGCTTAGTCATGTTGTAAGCACCCTGTATTCCGTAGTTCCTTCGTATTTTAATCTGTATTGCAGTTCAATTCCTTCTTACAGATATCCTGAAAAAAGACAATGACGACATCCCCCCCACCAGCCAGGTTTTGTACACCATCCAACAGGAATGTGTTCCATTCAGTGAGCTGGGAAATGAGCTCTTACAGCACACAGCACACTCCGAGCTCCCTGCCAGCTGGCTGATGGGCTGCTGGATCTGCACGGGTTATGGAGCAGGGCATTTTCCTCTGCATTTGGCACAACTTTGCTAGCATACGATGATTAAAAAATAATTAGAGCACCATGTCCACCATGCTCTTTTTAATCCAACCAGCAAACACAGGGGAATATACAAACTACGATCACCAGGCTTTCTGCTTCACCTGTAATCACTCTCTTTTTTTAAGCAAATGTCTGATGCAGAACACATATACAGAATTTCGTATGACTACTTCTGTAATGGCACTTCTGCTCTGCGCAGCAAGGGCTTTATGCACTCACAAACTCTTGTCCGCCCAGTTAAACTGAAAATGAGTTGAGATCCTAAGTTCAGCTCTGCAATTCTGTGATTCAAGCAAAAGAAGTGAGCTCCTTCTGATGCAAATTAACGCTGACATCCAGCCAAGGATCTACATGTTGATGGGTGTGGAAGCTGGGCACATAAAACCTCATCCAGAAGCCTTTATGTAGTTCATTCAGATTTTTCAATGTGAGCTCTGATTTATTTATTCTTCTTCCTTATAGTAGCCCCCATAGTAAATGGTGCAACCAGTAAAAAGGTGGGATGGCACCAACACCCTGCACTGCCCACTTCATTGGAAGCACCAAACCCAGGTGTCTGCGTGTATCTTAACTGGAGCGCAAAGACAACAGCAAGAGAAGTGCTTAGAAGAAAGCGGCACCTCTCTCCTTCCTGCTCAATGCCATCAAACACAGTGACTCCAAAGAGTTCATTTTAACATTTGTGGGTAATTCAATAGGTGAGGGACTCGAAAGAGGAATTCAGCAGAGAGGGAAAAAACTAAGAAAGATGTCATGTTCCAACTTCAGCGTCTAACAGAGAATTTAACAAACTAATCCGTAACTACAAACCTAAGCCACAACATGGCTGAACTAATGGGGAGGACAACTGAAGGGCAATAAACAGAAATGTCAATCCTAGAAAGGGCTGAGAGCAACGTGAAACTGATTCTGATCTCTCACACTGGCGCCTGGCCCTGCAGTCAGCCCTACCAGTGCCACAAGCCCTGGGCTGCTGGAAGCTCTGCTTTCCCAGCCCTGTGCAGGGACATCTGTGGGTCCTGGGGCAGCTCAGTGCATTCCCTCATGTTTTATTCAGAGCCCTTCAGAGAAAAGAAGAGCACACAGTGGTTAATGACACATTTCACTGCTGGTAAAACAGCAAGTTGGTGGTAAAAGAAATACAGTTCACCAGTTGACTGGGCAGTGGCAGCTCAGCATGAGGCTCCCCACCTCGCACCCTCCTCCTCCACTGCATGTGTCACCAGAAGTGGGGCTCCCCAGCACCAAAAGTTTGCTCACTTTCCCACCCCACAGCTGAGCTCTCATCCTTCCCTTACTTCCCTACATCAATGCATCTCACCTGATACATCGAGTAAGGCGAGCTGCTCACCTGAAATCAGAAGATGATGCGCACACACTGCAGGAACTCCACACAGAGTTGGTCGTGTGCTGATGCTCTGTGCAGTACACAGGCTTGGTACTTTTTGAAATGAACAGTTCATCTGGAATTACATTTCTACAATTTAGAAATCAAACTTAACCTAATTTGCTGCAGCTGGACACCACCTGCAGAGTGCTGTTTAAGTACTCTGAACATTACATACTTATCTTTTAAATATTGATAATGCCATTCGTCATTTATGTGACATGCAGTCCCACAGGGAATAATTATGCTAATTAAACCTTAATGATTCTTGCAAATAAATGATCAAACAAAATTGCTACTGTTGATTTATATTAATGGATGCCTTTAGGAGGACATTTGTCAGGATGTGCTGCTTCTTGAATCCCAATTCATCTTATTTAGCAGAATAATGTACATAGTTTGTAAAACAGATTAAGCACTTAAAATATAATGTGTTTATAGAGTTTCTGCAGTTCATAACATTCAAGTGTTGTTATCTTGCCTTATGGCAATCTGCATTAAATGCTTTAATGGTATATAACTTTTTCTACACTGTTTCTTTTCCTTCTTCTTTAGGGATATGTGGCTAAAACAGACATATAGTTTTTACTTTTCTGTTATTACTGGGCACACTAGAAATTCCCACCTCACATCCATCTATTCTTTTGAAATTTTAACCAAGTTCATTTGGAAAACATTTTGCATAGGCTTGCCTTCTAGATAATACATACATTTGAAAGCAGTATCAACGTGCTTCTTTTATTGCTGACTATAGGGCAGGAGATGTTTTAATTGTGTTGGAGGAAAGGAAACAGCAAGGAACATGAATATTCTGAATTTAAACTCCAGCAGCAGAACGAAGACACAGGATGCTTTTGTCTTTGAGGCAAATGATACCATTAAGTAATGAGTGATTTGCTAGAACTTCCACCTATCCAGATTTTCAGGGCTTTTTTTTTTTCCTTTTTATCTCCTTCTGCTTGTGTAGTTCAGCGTCTCAAACAAGGGCTAAATGGCCATACCAACATTTTGTTTCCCTCATAATGTTCCCAGCTCCCACAATGCTTAACACTGCATTCACAACAGGCTGTATTTCAAACAGTTGGCACAAATGGATTTCAATACTATCTGCACACTACAGTCATGAAATCCAACTGTACCTGAAAGCAATAGACTCCAAACACTGGAGGGCCTGAACACCTACAGCAATTTTCTTACATTCTGTGGATTAATAATCCCCCAATTTGTCAATTTCACTTTAAACAGTAGCACTGAGTTCTTTCTTCTGCTAATCAGAGCACTAATTCTGCACATGGCGTTTGCTCACCCTGTTTCTTCTAACAATGAGAGACTCACAGTCTCGCTCCCCCCTCACCTATGGGCTCTTGAACAGCTCCACAAGCAGCTAGCAGGGAAGCTTCAAACATGTAATTACCTTTGTATGTGACAACAGCACGGAGACTTGGAGCAATTAGTAGAATTGGACACAGACTGAGGATTAGGTGTGCCTAAATTCTGGTTTTGTCTGTACTGTGTAGCATCCAGAAAGCTATTTTATCTTACTGCCCTGCTGTACCCTGCAACAATGTTTGTCATTGTCACACAGCAGGAACATCCCAAAAATGAGAATGTCTATACCTGTACTGCACTGAATGGCTTCATCACCACCTCTCAAAGGACATCACTGTTCTATCAGAACACACCACCACAGTGCATAATTGCCACTGCTCTTACCAGCCTCCCTGCTCATCAACATGTGGGTAAAAACCTTCATCTTAAAGTCAAAAAGTTTTTTTTGTCACTGGCTTAAAGAGGTGCATGATCTCATTCCCAGGTTTATGCATGTCAATTTTTCCCTTAAAAAAACAACTCTGCTCTTCCTTTTTAATTTATTAAAAGCTTCCTACGCTTGTATCTATTCAGACATGGGCAATTGTAGGTTAAGAAGATCATTTTAGTATTTTCAGAGAGATCATCCCTTCTTCTCAGTTTTGTACTTAGCATTTCCTTACCATCCCACAGGCACTTGCTCTCCAAGCACTCCTTCTGGCATTCCCAGTTCCTGACCTCAGCTTTTCCCCTAGCTGCAAAACATCTTACAGGCCTTGCCTATCTGAATTTACAGGTAAGGATTATTCCTCTTCTTCCACTCTGTGGGATGACTTCTCTGCCAGTGGGTTTGGGATGACAACTCTTATTGGGCTCTCCGGGATCCCAGAGTACTGCTGGGACTTGGCTTCTGCAGACAGAAAAAGCAGAAGGTATCATACCACAGCACCTGGGAAAGCACATGCACACCTCCTCTTGAAGAATTTTAGGCAACCCAATTTAATTGAGACTTTCTCTTTGCCCCCTCTGCTGTAGAGACTCTGCTTGGTTTTGGCCAAGATTGTTTTTCAAATGGTCACTTGCAGCCTCAGAATGCATTAGGTGTCTAGCAGACAGAACTGCCTGAATCAGTCTGTCTCCTTTTGCCAGCATTTCTACTACAGATCTGCTCTCTACCTTGGAGTCATGTTAAAACCTTCCAAGAGCTGCACAGGGAGAGCTGCTGCTATTAAACTCCCTCATCCCCACCTTCCAGGTTGCAGTCAGTCAAAGTGCTGCTCCCTAACTGACACCACTCCATTTCCAGATGTTGTTATTTATCTGACAAAGTCATCATCTAAATCATTTGGACTCACACATCTGCTTTCACACACTGAGGAAGTTTGAAGGCACCCGATCCTTAACAGTTAGTTCATACAGCTTAGTTAAAACTTATATGCAACTTATTTGCATTTAGATATTAAAATATTCCTCACGCTTTGTTTGTATGCACATAAATTGAGATTTCAAACATGTCACTGTAAATTTGCTGGGAATTCATGTGTGTTCTTTAGTGCATATACAGTGAATGGATTCTATTTTAATACTCGTCCATTTTTATGCTGTCCCCTAAATAATTCATCTTTACTGATTGCTACTTATATGTACCACAGCATTTTGACATCAGACTCCTCACCAGCAGCTGCATCAAACAAAATTCCTATTACCCAGGCTGCAAGATTCACTCTCTAAGTATTTTCTCCTTTTTTAAGAACCAACCTGAACAGCACAATTTCTTCTGACCTACTCATTAGACAAAGT